GGAGGAGGAGGAGGAGGAGGAGGAGGAGGAGGAGGAGGAGGAGGAGGAGGAGGAGGAGGAGGAGGAAGAGAAGGAGGAGGAGGAGGACCAGGGCAAGCCCAAGAGTCACCAACGCTGCTGGAGTAGACCATCCCTCCAAACTCCCTTTTCATAAGCCCCGACAGCGGTTCACTCCCATTGAAGGAATTGCCTCGTTGGAACACAACCGTTTGAAGACCCTGAACCATGCCAACACATTGGTCTCGGGATTCCGACGCAACGGATAAACCTGATTGTTGCGTCTTGAGAATCCTGAGCCGTGCCAGAACACGTTCCTGGGACTTCACCACAACGAAACACAATAACTGTTGTCTCCGCATATTCTCGAATCCTTTCAACTCACCATTTCTGACACGTTGGTGGTGGTAACCAATGCGACTCTTGCAATGCCTGTGCAACGTCTGTGCGCCGCGCTGATGCGAGAACCACCTTTAAAAACCACCCTCGATCCGTGAAGGTCTTGAACATGTTTAAAACGAGTGTGCGCCGCGCTAAAGCAAGAACCACATGTTGAAAAGGAGTCGCCCTCAACCCGTGACGCTCTTGCATTTGCCTAAAACGATTGTGCGCCGCGCTAAAGCGAGAATCACATGTTGAACACCACCCGCCCTCAATCCATGAAATTCTTGCAGATGTTCTAAACAAATTTGCGCCGCGCTAAGGCGAGAACCACACGTTGAACACCACCCGCCCTCAATCCGTGAAACTCGTGCACATGTTTAAAACGAGTGCGCGCCGCGCTAGGGCGAGAGCCACAGTTTGGAAACGGCCCGCCCTGCATATGTGAAACTGTTGCCAATGTTTAAGCTTCAGAGCCATGAATGGCGAGGACGTTCTAGGCGAAACGCCCCGCCTTCCCTGAAAGCTGGCCTCGGGGTGCGACAGGGAAGGGAATGGAGGAGGAGGAGGAGGAGGAGGAGGAAGAGGAGGAGGAGGAGGAGGGAGGGGGAGGAGAAAGGATGAGGAGAAGAGGAGGAGGGGGAGGAGGAGAAGGAGGAGGAGGAGGAGGAGGAGGAGGAGGAGGAGGACGGGGAGGGGGAGGAGGAGGAGGAGGAAGGAGGAGAGGAGGAGGAAGGAGAGGATGAGGAAGGGAGAAGGAGGAGGAGAGGAGGAGAAGGAAGGGGGAAGGAGGAGAGGAGGAGGAGGGTGAGGAGGAGGAGGAGGAGGAGGAGGAGAGGAGGAGGAAGGGAAGGAGGAGGAAGAGGAGGAGGGAGGAGGTTGAGGAGGGGAGATGAGGGGGGGAGGAAACAGGAGGAGGAGGAGGAGGAGAGAGGAGGAGGAGGAGGAGAAGTAGGAGGAGGAGGAAGAGGAGTAGGAGGAGCAAGGAGGGAGGAGAAGGGGAGGAGGAGGAGGAGAAGGAGGAGGAGGAGGAGGAAGAAGAGGAGGAGGAGGAGAGAGGAGGAGGAGGAAAGGAGGAGGAGGAGGAGAGGGAGGAGGAGGATGGGGATGAGGAGGGCGGAGGAGGAGGAGGAGGAGGAGGGGAAAAGAAGATGGGAAGGGGAGGAGAAGGAGGAGGAGGGGAGAGGAGGAGGAGGAGGAGGGAAGAGGAGGAGGAGGAGGGGAGGAGGAGGAGGAGGAGGAGGAGGGGGAGATGGAGGAGGAGGAGGAGGAGGAGGAGGAGGAGGAGGTAGAGGAGGAGGAGGTGGAGGAGGAGGAGGAGGAAGAGGAGGAGGAGGAGGAGGAGGAGCGCTTGCGAAGCAACATTGCTCGGCTTTCCCCTTGACACAACCGGGCACTCCATGCGGCCGTTCTCCGTCAAGAAGCCCTCTGGTGCGCAGTGGTCTGGCGTGCCCATCCTGCACGCTGTGACGGCACTGGCACAGCAGCAAAAGACACAGCTACGTGGAGGACAGCAGCAGCAGAAGCAGAAAGAGAAGGCAGGCAGCGGAGAGGAGGAGGAGAGAAGGGGGCCAGGGCGCTATGCGACGCAATGCCAAAACACATCGCGGCGACCCAAGGGGGGAGGAGCGAACAGGAGAGGAGGAGGCTCCCGGCCCAAAAGAGGGAGCGGAGGAAGAGGGAGGAGAGACAGGCGGCGCCTATCAGGACGAGAACTTTGTGTTCCCAGGCAGGGGTGGCGAGCCCTGCCAGGGCCCACCGGCAAGGCTCGGCGGCGAGCCCGGGGGGGGGGGGGGGAAAGGAGAAGGGCCTTCCTCCCTCTTCCTCTTCGGGGCCCCGAGGCGGTCCTCCTCGTCCCTCTGGCGGCACGCCTCGAGCTGCGCCTCCGCCTCCGCCTGGGACCGCTCCGCGGCGGCCTTTGTCGCGGGAGGGATGCTGCACTTGCAGGAGCTGGTGGCGCGACCACGCGCGGGCGCGGCTGATACCTCCCACGCTCCAACCGTCGTGGAGGCGTGACACTCGGGTTTGGGGCCATCATGAACATGGCGAGACTCCATCTGGAAGTTGGCGCGAACTCCAGCTGCAGACATCCCACGAAAACTGGACCGTCAAATTCCAGGACGCGCTCGTCAAAGAAAGATGGCAAACCCGAGTTTCGGCTTACTCGAATCTTCATTCAAGCTGGCGGCGAGCGCGGCGGGGAAGTGAGAAGGCGCGGGCCTCGGCAGAAGGCTCGGAAGTCCCCCGGCCTTCGAGGAGTCTGCGGAGCCTCCCCCGCAGACGCAGAACCCTTCTCAGACGGCGCGAGGGCTTCTGAAAAACCCCGCCGCCTTCTGAGAAGCCCTTCTCCTTCTCCTCCTCCTCCTCGTCGTCGTCGTCGTCCTCCTCCTCCTCCTCCTCAAGGGAGGCCGGGAGGAGGGAGGCAATGCGGTGACGAGCGGCCTCAGTGCCAGTGGTGCGGGAAGTGCTGGGTGCCACGACGTGGTGGGGTAGGCCTGCATACGGCCTGGCTGCATTGACGTGCCATGGCGGGCAACGTTAGGTCGGACGTGCCCTCCTACAGGGTGGTTCTGGACGAACATAAAAGATAGCCCAACACATGTCAAACATTGTCAAGAACAGTAAAAACGTGCCCATACGATTTTCTGACTACGTTTGAATTTTCCTCCTGTAGAGGGACATGCCCGACTCAACGCTATGCAGCATGTCGCAATCACGTGGGGGATTCCAGAAACCCTGAACCCAAAAACGTTTTCATCTCTTGGGGGCGCATCTTTCACTTCCGCCGCCTTCCGCCAGCCTTCCGCCGGCGGAGGCGGCCTCGTTTTACTTCCGCCGACCTTCCACCGCCCTTCCGCCGCAGAAGAGATGACAATTCATTCGATCCTCGAAGGCAAGGCCCTTTTTGGAACGCCTCATGTATGTGTTGCGCCATGCTACGCTATACGGTGCCATACCATGCATGCGACGCGGCGTTTTGCACTGACTGCCTGACAGTGCAGGCCGTACGTGAGTATGCAATGCAATGATGCGTTATGTTATGCTGTACGATGCCATCCTAAGCTCTGCAATGCCGTGCGTTACGATGCAACGCTATGACGATATGCACGCCGCATCTCTATATCATGCTACGCTGTGGTAGCATTTATATGCTATGCCACCCTTTGCAATGCAATGCAATGTATCGCCTATCATTGCAATGCTTTTTCCAAATCTAAAGAAGCAATCCAAACGCAACATGACTTTATCGAACGTTTTTTTCCAAATCTATAGAAGCAATCCGAACCGTCTCTCCCCATTATATTGCTTTCTCGCTGGTCGCTCTCATGCAATGTACCAAATCCCCGCACCCGTACCCCTTTTCGGAAACCCATTTCCTCTGGGGTTTGTGCCCGCCTCCAATGTCTTTGCCATAGCTCAATAGCCCACATAGCCTTATAGCCCAATAGCCCTATAGCTCTATGGCCCTATAGCCCTAGAGCCCTATAGCCCTAGAGCCCTGTGGCCCTATAGCCCTATAGCTCTATAACCCTATAGCCCTATAGCTCTAGAGCCCTAGAGCCCTGTAGTCCTATAGCCCTATAGCCCAATAGCCCAACAGCCCTATAGCCCTATACCCCTATAGCCCATATAGCCCTTTAGCCCCGTAGCCCTGTAGCCCTATAGTCTTATAGCCCCATAGCCCCAACAAACATCGGATTGATTTTTTTTCTCCGGTATCATTTACTTCTTCGCCCCAAATCCCCCTCTAGGGGGACACGCCCGACCTATAACTACGTTTATGCTTGCGCAGTTTCTGGTTCCTCGGGTCTCGCAGCCTCCCCTGCTGCCCAGGGTTCGCCGCCGACGCCCTCTCTCGCTGGGCACTCTCGGAGCGCCATCGCCCCCCACACGCGTGGCGGGCAGCTCGCGGCCGGCACCCCAGAGCTCCCTCCCTGCAAAGAGGGCCGGCGCCTCTCGGCGGCCTCCCCTGGAGGGCGGGCGCCCACGACGGGGCTGCCCACACCGAGGACTCGCCATCACTCGGACGTCCATTCCCTGTGCTTTTTGTTCGGTTGCGTGCGTGGTTTTTTCCGCAGGATGATCCAGGATGCTCCTGAACAGTCGCCGCCGAGAGGAAGTGCACACGTCCGAGCGATACCAAGAGGAACAAGGACCGACATGCGGTCAGGAGCTCTTGCTCAGCGTGTCGCCGCGGCGGCCCCGGCGGCACGCGGCGCCCTGCGAGCTGCTAGCGCGTCGCTCCGCTCCGCGGGGGGCTGGCAGATGCTCGGGACGTTGACGCCTGGAGTGAAGGGGCCCCAGAACACATCAACAAATGCACACAAATAAAAAGATTCCCCATAGTTTCCTATATTTTCTGGGTTTTTGTCTTCCCGCCCAATTCCCATATTTTCCCATATGTTCTTGGGAATCGAGGATTAATTGTGTCTGTATTTTTTCCCCTTCTGATGGAGACTGGGAAGTGGGCAGCGTGCCGCGCCAGAGCGCGGTGGGCCAGAACCTGCGGAGCGACGCGCTGATCAAAAGTTCCCGACCGTGCACACTAACGTTCGAAGGCCCGCGCGGACTTCCTGGATTGGCGCCGAAAGCCCCCTTCCTGTCGCGCGGAGCGCGCCCGGGGCGGCATGGCGGCGGCGGCAGGATCAATCAGCATCGGATCGGGAAATCCGATCGAATCGAACTGTGGTCTCGAATCGGGCTGCATCGGCACGGGGATAAGATCGAATCGGATCAGCCGCGCCAAGATACACAAACAGCGCCGTGCAAGCACCGGATCTCCACAACACTGGAGTCAAAACGGATCGGGCCGGCCGGAACTGATACAGTCGGACTCGATTGGACAGGACACGCGAGAGGACACGAGACCCTTCCGAGGGCCACATTGCCACAGGAAAATAGGAAGTATGGGTCGCGAGACACAGGACACAAGGGTACCCTTGATTTGGCAGGGTCGACCTAATTACTAATCTCGGCTTACTATACCGAACCCGATGGATCAGATCGGAACGGACCCGGGCCCTGCGGGGTGTGGGCGTCTGAGGCAGGTCTGCAGGAAGAGCTGGGCGGCGCCACCGACTGCGGCTCGCCGTGTCGTGTCGTGCCCAGGGGCGGACAGGGCGTGACGGTGCCATCCCGACAGGGCCGAAGGCTTCGCTCCTGCGCCCCTCGGCCGAGCAGCTGCATCGATGGACCATGCATCGGCCCATCTAGAAGAAGAAAAAACGCCATAGAACTGGTGGCGCTTCCGGCGCGGACCCATCGATCTCGGAGGCGGCCAAGAGGGGGGGGCCCAGGGGGGGGGCCGGCAGCTTGTGCGCGGCCGGCAGCTTGTGCGCGGCCCAGGGGGGGGGGGGGCGGGGACGCATTGAAATGACAAGAGGCGCCACGGAATCTGGGGACACATCATGGCCCCCGCCATGATATCCACCCCCCCCTAGTCAACACCCCCCTTTGCCGCCCCCGACGATCGATCGACCGCATCGAAATGGACCCGGGCCGTCCGAGCGGATCTGGGCACCACCACCAGAGAAAGCACGCCCCCTCGGCGGGGCGCGGCTGCGGGAGAGCACGCCCCGTGGATGCTGGAGAGCGCCCCCCCCGTGGCAGGACGCCCTCCAGGCAGACCGACGAGGGCCGCCCGAGGGCCTGGCCCGAGAGAGCCTCGCCATCCTCAAGCGAAGGCGGCGGCGGCGGCGAGGACGACGAGACGACGAGACGACGAGACGACGAGACGACGACGACGACGAAGACGACGACGACGACGACGACGACGACGACGACGACGACGACGACGACGACGACGACGACGGCGGCGGCGGCGGCGGCGGCGACGGCGACGAAGGCGGCGGCGACCGTGGACTCGGTGCCTGCTGCGAGCGCTCCTCGAGCAGCTCGTCCCCCAGGGACGCCGCCTGGTCGCGGCACTGGCCCGCCTGGCTCGGCGGCGCCGAGGCGCTCGGCGGGAAGGCGAGGTCTGCTGGGGCCGCCGGGGCCCCGGCCGATGGTCCTCGGCAGGCGTGCCAGCGCCAGCGTGTGATGGTCCACCGGAAGCCCCTCAGCACCACGCAGGCGGGTGCAACCGAGGGCACACGCACATGCTGCGTGCATCCTGTGGAGGCGCGATCAGGGCAGCCTTTTGCTCCTTGGCAGCGGCGCGCCCTGCGACACAACGGTGGCAGCATGGTCGGAGTGTGGGCGCGTGCAAACGCATGCGAAGAGGACAGGGGTCGGCGACTCCGAAGGGAGTGGCGGATGTGGCTTGCAACGGGTGCGGCTTGCGACCCGCGCCTGGGGCGGGGCGGAGGGCACGCGAAGACCTCGACCGACATCTCTGCCGCGCCCCGACGAGAGCTCATCAAACCCTCGGTGCAACGTGGTGACCACACCCCTTGTCAGTCGCCGAAGGAGAACCTAGGGGCACGGCGGCCTGGGCGGCACGAGAAGGCAACCAGAGCGAGGGACGAGAGGAACGGGGCGGGCGCCAGAGACGACGGACGCCGACGACCGACGCCGACGACCGACGACGGCGCCGACGACGCGGGGCGCGCGCGAGCCCGTGGGCGCCCGCGCGCGGCGGGGGCCTCGCCTGGCGCAGGGCCTCCTCGGTCTGCCGCCGCACCGCGGCCAGCTCCGCCTGCCGGCCGCCCGCGCGGCGCGGCGCGCCCCGGCCGTCGGGGCGCCCGGGCGGCGGCGGGCGGCAGGGCGAGCCCAGCACCGGATCGTACCTCCACGCGCCAGCACGACAACGGCCGGTGGCAGCCCGAAGCCGCCCCGCCTCCGTCCTCGGGCGCCCGCCGAGCGCGGGACGGATGTGATGACCCCCGTGGCGTTCCAGTGGGCGACGGCCTCTGCCGCCCCAGCTCGCGCCTCAAGAACAGCGTGGCGCCGGTGCCATGGCGGCGGCGCGGTGGCGCCACCCAGGGGAGGACGTGGGTCCAGTCCAACACACCGGCACGACGGTGCCGCACACTCGCGTGGTGCATCTGAGACGTGCCCTGGGTGTTCTGTCTTGGCGCGTGCAACTCGGCGTCTTGGGGACAAATGTTTCGCCCATGCAGGCGTCAACAAAGACAGCGACAACGCGAACGCTTCGTTTTTTTTATTGCGTTTTCAAGCATGTTGTTGTCCATGGTCGAAACCCGCCGCGGACGGGCCGTGAGCTTCCAAGCCTGTTTCGCACTGGTGTCCGAGATCGTCTATTGATATAGCATTCGCGTTTTCAACCTTGCGCACGGGAACCAATTCCACCCCCCGCCCGATCTATCAATGCTACGGCGACAAGAACCGCTGAGACACTATCTTAAGAACGCTAAGCAACATACGTGTTTTGCTGAAAGCGTTTCAGTCGGTCCAGAACCCCAGATTAAACGCCTGAGATAAAATCACGTCTATGCAATGTATAAGATGATCAGGGGATGCAGGCAAGCCGCTACCATAGGGCACGCTGCATGAGGAACGACGCATGCTTGGCCCCTAAGAGCGTCCTGTTGCACGGGGAGCAGATGAGGAAGAACATAGGGAGGGCCTAGGGAACAGCAAGCTCCGAACCTGAACTGTTCCATATGTGGAAGTCTCCTCGATTGGGTCCGAGTGTATGGGGTCGGAGGATCGCGCTGCATCGCCAATGCATCCGCGGCGTCGGCGATGCATCGGCGCCGTCGCCGTGGGTAAAATCGGCCTCCACATCGAGACGCATCGCCGATGCATTGGCATTGCGGCGCGATCCTCCGATCCCACCTGTTCGGACCGTTTGGACCCACTTTGAGCGGATTCGGGCCAGGCGGGAGAGCCTCAATCCGCCCTCCTCTGCATCGGCACGGAGTCGAAATCGAATCGGATTGGCCGCGCCAGGATGCACAACAGGCCATGCAAACATCTGGCCGCCATGGGCCGCATCGGATCTTCGGGATACCGCAGTCGAATCGGATCGGGCTGGCTGGAATCGATATCGAATCGGATCGATCGGATCGGAACGGTCCCTGCGGGGCACGGGCGTGCAAGGCAGATTCGCAAGAAGAGCTGGGGCAACTGTGACTCGCCTTTCCTTCTCGTGCCTGGGAGCGAACTGGGTGTCAAGGTGCGGCCGGCGAGGACCGATGAGTTCGCTTGTCCGTCACTCGTCTGAGCAACTGCATTCCTCCTCCTCCTCCTCCTCCTCCTCCTCCTCCTCCTCCTCCTCCTCCTCCCTGCTGGCACCTCCTTTTTCCGTTCCCTCATCCTTTCCTCATCACCTCCACGATTTCGAGGCCCTCAGACCAAGGCCCACTTCGACATGACGGATGTTTATGACGGAGCTTGGGAACATGGCAGCAAACGAGATTGCTAAGCAGGGCGGCATCATGCACAAGGTGACGTCTGAGCATTTCCATCTCCTGCGAGGGCTCACGGAGCTTTGCCGAGAGGCTGCCGAGTGGACGGTTAAGGTTCACGCGTGGGTCGTGGACCGGGTGGTTGGGTGGGATCGATCACGAAGATTTAGGAGAGCTCCGGGATGCACATGGAGAGGCTGTGGAAGCCCACCCAGCGGCGCCTCCTCCAGAGCCTCTGGACTTGCCTGTTCTGTGCCTGGCCCGCCATGCTGATGGGCCTCGACGAGGCACAGCCGAGAAAAACCATCCTCGGGTCCTGAAAACTTCCCAGAACTGCGACAGTGTTGGAAAACTGGAGAAACACTTGGAAGCACTGCAGCGCCGCTGTCACGCCGCGGTCCCCCTCTCGAGGACCCTCAGGACGTGTGGGTGCAAATGTGTCCTTGCCCACCGAAGCCCTTCAGAGCGACGCAGGCGTCGAACAAGGGGGCCGACGCAAGCGGCGCGCTATGGCCGGAACCGAACGGGGAAACACACATACACACACAACACACAACACACACACACACACACTCAGCCAACACATGGCCGATTCTGAAAACCCTGGACCCGAGACGGTTGCTCTCTTCGGGCGGGTGGCAGTGTGGGGCGGCCCAGATGGGGGGTGAAGAAAGGGGCCCTTTAGGGCCTCTCCTTCACCCCCCTTCGGGTCACCCCCCATGACCATAGGGGGAAAACAAACCTACCTCGCTTTTGACCACCCTCGCTTCCAAGCGATACCGAGCGATGCCACACTACGGCCTGTACTGGTCAGGTCGCTTGACGAGGAGGCGCGTGGTATGACTTGGTGTTCCTGGAAGCGAAACTAGGGCTCCCAACTTCGCGCTTCGCGCTCCGCGAAGCGCGAAGCGCGAATAACTTCGCGCTCTCGCGCCGCCCCCCCAAAGGGACAAAAGGAGGACGAGGAGGAGGGGGAGGAGAAACGAGGACCGCGAAGCGCGAAGCGCGAATAACTTCGCGCCCTCGGGGGAGCCCTTGCGAAAGCGGGGTAGGTAATTCACGCTCCGAGACCACCCGCCCGACATCTTGTACCTCCGCTGGCGCTCCGCCGGCCTTCCGCAGGCGGAGCCGCCCTCGCCCCTGCCTCCCCGCCGGCTCTCCCGCCGACCTCCCCGCCGCCCTCCGCCGAGGGAAAGAGAGAGGTGCCAAGACGCCTGGGACCCTCGAGCGCAAGGCCCTCCGTTCAGAGGAAGAAAACAAAAAAAAAAAAACATAACTTTTGCGGCGCTCCGCGCGGATTTCGCGGATCCGCGCTGACGCTAATTAGGGGCGGCGCCGGAGGCGCCGCCGGCGGGGCCCAGCGTGGATCCAGGAGATCTGCGCGGAGCGCCAAACGTTTATGCTTATGGATTTTTTCTTCTTCGATTGTTGTGCCTTGTGTGGAGCGCGCCGGATGTCCTCAGGTCGGAGGTCGCTGGGGGGCCTGAACTGGCTGGAACCCCAGAAAATCTGCCAGGGGGGGCGACGATGCGCAGAAGGCATCTATACACCACCACCGTGGCTTGCCAGGGCCAGCCTGGGCCCCGGCATGGTGAAAACGCCTTTCTGGCCGATGCCAGGAGGGGCGCATACACCAGAGTGGGGCCCAGGATGGCCCCGGGCCAGGCACGGTGGTGGTGTACAGGTGCCGCCGCCTGCAGAGACGGGGCCGAACCCATCAACACCAGCTCGCGGATCCCCTCCAGGGGCCGTCTGGTGCGATTTCTCGCCCCAGGTCCGCTTCTGACCTCCCCCCCGGGGCCCGCGAACGGCCCCCCGGAGGCCGAAAAAGGCAGCGCAGACCCTCTCGAACCCAGCATCCCTCGGACCTCGCCCGCCCCCCCGCCCGGCTCGCCGCAACCCGTGCTGGGCCACCGCAGACCCCCACCGAGCTCCTGCAAGCAGGGGCGAAGCGTCCTGGCCTTCCCGTAAGCCCAGCAACGACTGTTCCAAGAGCCTCTTGCGGCTTGCACGAACTGTTCTTGGAACCTTTCTGGCCGAGACTGCCTTGCTGCAATACATCGGGCAAATGCTTTAATACTATTGTTTCGGTTATGAGAATACTTATGGTGTTGTAAAGAACGTGTCGTGGTAGGCCTATACAAAGGAGCCGAACTCTATACACCGATGTTTTTTCCAGCCCCTCACTGAAACTCGCGCCGGAAAGCAGAACCTGGTGTATACGTGATCGATCCTGGTGTATACGTGTTTCGCTCCCCTGGGAAACGGGAACAAAAACATACACCACACTGCCCCGACGTCCCTCCCCAACCCTAACAAAAGTCCGGGGATCGAGAAACAGCCCGCCACTGGTACTCCAGATTTCGTAATAAAGGGAGGGGGGTCTCATTTCGGGGGGGGTCTCTTCCAGGCCATCTTGGAGGGCCTGGGGGGGTCTGGGGACGATGTCTTGGAGGGTTCTCCCACGGGGGAGGTCTGAAATGCATCGTCTTGGAGGGTCCAGACCCCCTCCCTTTTCTTACGAGATCTGGTCATGCCCCCTTCCTCCTCTCCCTCCGCCTTCCCTTTCCTCTACTCCTCCTCCTCCTCCTCCTCCTCCTCCTCCTCCTCCTCCTCCTCCTCCTCCTCCTCCTCCTCCTCCTCCTCCTCCTCCTCTACTCCTCCTCCTCCTCCTCCTCCTCCTCCGAATGCCGGGGCGGTCGCTCCGTGCTCGAGCGGATCCTCGAGCCTCCACCGCCGCCGCGGCTGGCCACCGCCGCGGCGGCGCCCGAGGCGCCCGGCCTGCAGCGAGGCCTTCTCCGCGGCGGTGCGCAGCGCCTCCTGGGACGCGGCCTGGAGCCGCTGCTGCACGTCGTGCTCGGAGCCCTCGAGCTCCTGGCACCTCCGCTGCGCGCGTGTACAGCACTCTGCGGCAACGCACGGGAGCCTCCCGTGCCATCTTGTTGGTCCTCGCGAATCGACGCTCAATCGGCGTTCATAGACGGTACATCGACGCTCATCGACGCTACATCGACGCGAATCGACGCTAAATCGACGCTAAAGTGGCACTATCTCGCCGAGTACCAAACGCGAATCGACGCTAGTGTAGTCTAAAGGCAGAATTACAAGGGTACACAAGGATCCCACGATTCGATATCAAATACATGCATGAATAATTCGGGGCTCGACCACGAGAAACCTTCCACAGGAAACCCAACCCTGAGACCCCAGGACGTCCATTGATTCTTGGTGCAGGAGCGTCGTACTTTGCAGCGCAACACCATCGAACCCCAAGGAACCCAGGATACCCTGGAGGCAAGCAAGGTGTGTCTTGGCATGCGGCTCCGCTCTATTTGGAATTTCTGGCGCCATGTTTTTCACGTTTCCGGTGCCGTGGTTTCACCGCTTTCGTTTCTCCTGGTGGGGGCCCAGGTCCAAATCACCGCTTCGCTACTGGATCCGAGCAACTTTCAAACCGGCTCCGAACGTCCGTCCAATCCCCTGCCTGCCCAGGCCGTTTCGGTGAACCGTTTTGCTACCGTTTCGGTGAGCCTGTTCTTCTCTCCCGCTTGCAAGATCCAGGTGCAGATTTCTTTGAATACGGTAAAGCACCGGCCCTGTGGCCTCCAGGGCCCTCCACAGATAGGCTGGAACCAGGAAGGGCTGAAACACGAAGGGCTGCAGACACCGAGGGCGCGCAACACAACCGGGCCTGGCCCGCACCCCTGACTCCAGATCCGCCCTACTTTGGCGTTTTCTCCAACTTAAAATTGCGTCGGAAATCCACCTACAAGGAGCCGAAAAAGTAGGGCGGAAATTTCTGCACCCAACATAAAATGGGGCGAACATCCACAGAAGTAGGGCGGAAACAACAACAGAAAAATAGGGCGGAAATTGGCATCAGCGGGGCTTGAAAAGTAAGGCGGAAATTCCAAGCCCTACTTACGAATTTCTCCAAAGTAGGGCGGATCCGGAGTCAGGGACCTCTGTCTCCAGCCTCCCCGTAGCTCCGGGAGCCTCCCCGTAGCTCCAGCCTCCCCGTAGCTCCGCACGGCGACGGCGACGACGGTCGGTGGCCAGCGGCGGTGACCCGGCGGCCGGCGGTCCGCGGTCCGCGGGCCGCTCCGCGCGTGGGGCGCCTCTGCGCCAGCTGCCCGCCGAGCGTCCTGGTTGCCGCGCGTCGATCTCGCCGCCGCCAGCGCCGCCGCCGCCGCCGCAGTCGACGTCGTGGTCATAAACGTCGTCGTCTTCGTCGTCGTCGCCGCCGTCGATGTTGTGGTCGTGGTCGTGGTCGTGGTCGTCGTCGCCGACGTGGTGGCCGTCGTTGCCGTCGTGGTCGCCGTGGTCATCGTGGTGGCGGTGGTAGTCGTCGCGTTCCCAAGCAGCCCTGTGTTCCCAGCGGCCCAGGTGTCCCCCAGCAACCCAGTGCCCTCTCCGCCCAGTGCCCCCTCCGCCCGGACCATTCGATTGTCGCGCCGCCTCGCCCCCGCTCCGCCCCTCCCCCCCTCCCACTCCACCGCTCCCCAGCAGCCCAGCGTTCCACAGCGTTCCATAGCCCTCCTAATGAAGCCCCTTTCTTGTGCCTGCCTCCCCGCCTGCTTAGGAAAATGCCCCCCTCGCGCCATCCCCATCGCGCGCGCTGCCAACCTTTGGGGACCACTGGCTGATAAAACCAGTCCACAGGAGATCTGGGGCTGGCAAATCGGGCATCGGTTCCAGCTGGGCACGGGAGGCCACGTGCACCAAGTTTGCTCCTCCTCTCCTCCCCCTCGTCCTCTTCCCCCTCCCCCTCCCCCTCCCTCTACAATTACACAATATGAATATCACTCTCCTCTCTCCCCTGATGACGTCTGGAAGATGTTCGGCCCCCTTCCGCGTACTGTTTTTACACACACAGGAGTCCCGGGAACTGAATTTTCGCATATTTGTTGTTATGAAAATGCTGCTCCCGCTGAGGCGCCGGCCTCATTTTCGGGCTTCCGCTCGTTCCGAATCGTGCTCCCGCTGCCCGCGCTTCCGCTCGTTCCGAATCGTGCTCCTGCTGCAGCGCTGGCCTCATTTCCGCGTTTCCGCTTGTTCTGAATCGAGCTCCCGCTGCGGCGCTGGCGTCATTATTTTCAGTGCCATGCTGCGGCATGGTTTTTGGTCCTCCCAAATAAACCCAAACATCTAGAACATGCCCTCGAAAAAACCATCGGAAGTGATTCCACATTCGGTGTCGATTCGTTGATTTGGGGGCCGCAGAAGCCCCCCCTCTTTGGGGCGTCGCCACGCCATGCTATGTCATGCTACGCGTTGATATTCAACACCATGCTATAATGCTATGCCACGCTGCGACATCCGACTATGCGAGTAGAGAGGAGATCTACGCCATGGTAAGGGATGGGAGGGAGGGGTATGACGTCAGGTATGACGCGAGCGCACCTAGCTTGCCCCCTCCCCCTCCTCCCCCTCCCCCTCCCCCTCCTCCTCCTCCTCCTCCTCCTCCTCCTCCTCCTGCTCCTCCTGCTCCTCCTCCCTCCATCGCCTGCCCCATGTCCCGAGCTTGTGGCAGGGTCATCAGCTCGTCGTTGTCATTGTCGTCGTGGTCGCCGTCGTGGTCGTCATCGTCGTCCTTCTGGCTCGGCGGCAACGGCCGTAATGCCTTCACAATAGACGCAGACACACATAGCACATAGACGTCGATTCCCCAGAACACGTGTGAAAACATTGAAGCGGAGGGGACGACGAATACACATAAAATGGTTCAAGATACTGAGGTTCCTGCGACTTGTGTCTATCTATTCGTGCCTCACTGGGCCCCTTTTCAAAATTGTCTGCCGAATTTTCAGGGGAGCAAAGAGAATGACATAAACATAACAACTCTGAGATCCGCGCGGATTTCCCGGATCCGCGCTGGACGCCCCTGGCGGCGCCTCCGGCGCCGCCCCTGGCGCGCTCCGTGCGCCAAAGATGGGGGTCCAGCGCGGATCCGGGAAATCCGCGCGGACCTCCGAGTTTAATGTTTGTGCCATTCTCTTCGTTCCCCTACTCTTGGACCCACCCTCGCACATCGCCGCGATGCGTGCGCGACTCGCGCTCCTCCTCGCGCCCCCGCGCCGCCCCCCCTGGACAAACAACGGCAGGCCGCATCGGCCCCCGCCGCGACGCGTGGAGCGCGGTCAACTGCGCGACCCCGAGGGTCGACCTGGTCGGTTCGGCAGCGAGCGCGGGGGGGGGGGGGGAATGAGAGGGAGAAGGCCTCCTCAGAGGGCGGCAGGACCTCTCAGAAGCACTCGCGCCTTCTGAGAAGTTTTTTCTTGTCTTCGAGGAAGGCTCATATTGAACCCTTCTAGGAATCGGGGAGACGCACGACTCGGATACGAGAGACTCGGGTTGGCCCGACGGGGCCGAGAACTCCCGCTGCAAGCATCCCACGAAAACTGGACCGTCAAAACCCAGGACGCGCTCGGCAAGAAGCCTCGGCAGACCCGAGCTCCGGCTTCCTCGAGTCGCGCGTCTCACGCCTCCCCGACACGAGGCCGGGGAGCCTCCGGACTTCCTGAGAAGGCCTTCCCCTCCTCGCTCCACCCCTCGCTCGCCGATCAGTGGCCCCGACGGCCGATCCAGAGACCCAGCACAGCGGGAGCGCTGCGCCCGGCCCGGCCGGCGCCGCGTGCCCGTCCTGGTCTTCTCGTTGGCCCGCTGGATGTTCTTCAGCTCCTCCTGGCCACGAGCCGAGGGGGGGGAGGAGCAGGAGGAGGAGGAGGAGGAGGAGGAGGAGGAGGAGGAGGAGGAGGAGGAAAAGGAGGAGGAGGAGGAGGAGGAGGAGGAGGAGGAGGAGGAGGTTGGGCGAGCCGATGCCAACCGCCGCTCGAGCGCGGGGCCCCCACCGGCGTAGACGCACCCCCCCATCTCCCCAGACAGGGGGGTCCACGCTGCGGGGGGGGGGGAGGGGCTATCGCGGCCAGGCGTGCCCCCATTCGTTCGTTTTCGTGTGCACTGCTTCAGGAGAGCGTCTGGAACCAGATATGCATCAAGGAAAAGTCAGCCAACGTTCCCAAAAGTCATCAGTCGGAGATCTCCTTCCCTGCTCGGACCCGCCCTCGGGAGCTTTGGGGACGCACTGACCCCGGGTCAATGCAAGCCTGGGTCCGTCAGGCTCTGCAGGAGCCTGCAAAGTCCTGCAAGATCCTGCGGCATCTTGCGCGCCGGCCCGGGTCAGTGCAGCCCTGGCGCTGCAAGATCCTGCAAGATCCAGCGCCCTGGCTGACCCCCGTTTGCATGGACCCCCGTCTCAAGGCTCCCAAGGGGTTCTCTCGCGAACCCTCCAGTCCTCCTCTCCTCCCCGTCTCCCTCCTCCGGGTACCCCCACCCTCCTCTGGTGGCGGAGCGCCGCCAAGGGGTGGGGGGATCGGCCGCGTCGGGCCCAGGCCTCAGAGCCGCCGGTGTCGGGAGGGGGAGGAGGATGCGGAGACAGCAAGTGACCACAACCACATCGAGGATACAACCTTGGGGGATGTCCCATGATGTCTTGCGCAGACCAAGCATTGTCGGAACACCGAAACCAGCTTCGTACTGGCTGTGGTCGATGTGGCGTCCCCAGACTGCCAAATCAACCACAATCACAATCAAAGTGCTCAGGTCGAGGTCGGAGGGTTGTCCCCCGAGGGGCCCTCCAGAAAAATCCACTTAGTTGTGGTTGTGTTTCTGTGTTGTGCCTGGAGACGGAGAAGGAGGTCGGTCTGTCGCGGCAACGTACGACCCTGAGATCTGGGCGTGCGATTACACCCGGACCTGGGCCATATACTGACATCTTTCAAGAACATGAGACCCTCTGCCAGCTCAAACCCCAGTGCCCTCCCAACGATGCACAAACAACATCCAACAAACACGACGAATAGTAAGGTACTCTCCCCGCAGTGACCTCGACCTTACAGCTCGGTCCGACTGTATTTGTTTCACGCCAATTCTTTTTTTGCCCAGTTCCAAGCCCTGGAATCCTCATGAGTCGATCTGGCTCGGGGAATGCCGCAGAAAGATGGTGTCGAGGGCTCGGATCGCGGTTTGCCGCGATGTTGCAATTGATTCGCGACATCGGATTTTAGGGTAAGGCGTCAAGCCGACGTCCTCCGCAGAACCAGAAAGATTGTAGCCGGAAAGGTTCGAGTAACCTCAGAGGGTCTCTACCTTCCGATCGTGGGAAAAACACTATGTGTTTACACAGGCTTATTGACGGATTGGGACCGCCACCAATACTTGAAAAACAATAATTCCCCCGCGGCGGCCACCGCTCAGGCATCCGCCGTCGTCGTCGTGGTCGTCGCCGCCGCCATCGTCGCCATCATACTCGCAGAAGGTCGCTTCTCCTCCTCCTCCTCCTCCTCCTCCTCCTCCTGCTCCTCCTGCTCCTGCTCCTGCTCCTCCTCCTCCTCCTGCCTCCATTTCCAACATCCCTCCCTCCTCCTCCTCCTCCTCCTCCTCCATTCTCCTCCATTCTCCTCCTTCTCCTTGTACGCACAGGCTGAGCAGGAGACGCCCATTGCGTGGGAGGACGTGGTGGGGAAAGACGAGTTCAATTGCCAGCCGAGAGCTCAAGGGGGGGTGGGGCTAGCATTGAAGATCCTCTGAGGTTAGGCAGGTTGGAAGAGCCGGAGCCCTCGTCACCACGGGCGGATTCCCTCGAAATTCTGCATGGGGCGCACTTGCATGGTTCCTTCGCAGTCGATTCAGGCCTCCGCCACCCACGGAGAAGTCGCGGCGTCCGATTTGGTGTAGCGTCTCGGAATCGGGGTGGGGCCATTGGAAACCAACACGCGACGAAAGCCGGTCTGCGGGATGCCTCACGGTTGCCTTCTGGGCCCGCTCGGCGTCTGAGCCCACTCGGCCGCCGCGTGGGCTCGGGCTCGAGCACGGCCGCCTGCCAGCCAGGCCAGCTGCCCACCGACACCCTGAAGCTGGGGCCATTCGGCTGCCCCTTCGGCGGCGGACGCCGCACGGCCGCAAGGGGGGAACTCGGGTTTAATTGTGGCCCAGGGCTCCGGGGGCCCACGTCGCCCCCGCCCAGCACTGGCACGGGAATCGCTCGCCCCTGCGAGGCCACGCGTCAGTGGTGCCATTCTACTGGCGAAGCTTTTGACGACAAAACGCAATTCAAAAGATTAAACGCTTAATCGCAAAATGCTCGGTATAGCGTTGGACCAATCGCGGCTGACTGAACGCGAGAACGCGAGCGCCCGCGCGATGCTCCTCGCTGCAGAATGAAGCCCCGATGGGCACCACGATCACAGCGTTTGGCGCGAAAGGGCGCGGACCGAATTGCCTGCCAATCGCGACGTTGCGATGAGGAACCGCTGCGCCGATGACAGCGGCAGCGGTGATACATCGAACAAACACCTTGGAGCAAGTGTCATTGCGACAGCGACATCAAAGGCACCATTACGTTCAACGACACATTGGAGGTCGCGCAACCACGCGCGAACCCCACGCGGCACTACAGCGCGCAACCGCATGATGAACGCAAAGTGCACAAGCCAACGCGATGCGCTTGCCTGCGCGCGCTAACCCACAACCAGTGGCTCGCACGTGCGCGCGCGCACGTTCGAGGGCGATGGCGTCGCCAGAAGTCGCGGCGCGATGGCAACTGGCTGTGCAAATTTGCAGGTCGCCAGGCGCACTTCTGAAAGTTCTTGGGGCCGCGAAACCACAATGAAAACCGCGCCGCGCATCCAAAGCGACGCGATCACGCGAGTAGTGCCGCCCGCGCGCGGCAAGGCGCGAACGCAAACCCAAGCTGGAAAAACAAACAGCGAGGTATGGAATCGGATTGCAACGGGCGCTGGTTTTCAGGGCGCGCTAAAAACGCATCGCGCGTCGAAGCGCGACCGCCAACAGTCAGCAATGAGGCTGGGCACCCTCGCTGGGAACGGTCAGAACTCAAGAGCAGCGGCCAGGAATTGATGGGCGCCTCGAACGGTGGCGACAACAAAAAAAAACATCCTCTCGTCGCCGCACGGCGCAAGAAGCGGCGCAGTCGACCGCGCACGTCCGCACCGCGCAGATTAGCGCAAGACGCGACGCACAACGAAGGGATTGAAAGCCCGCTCGCGCGCGCACGCGCGCACGCCGCAAAGGCGGGAGCGCGCCCCCGCGGGACTGCGCGCGTTCCGAAGGGCCGACAGCGCGCGCCAGCGCAGCCTGCGCACTGGGCGTCGACCCACCGCGGAGACGACGTCGACGCAGAGGGTTCTGTGGAGCCAGAATACTTGAGCCAGAATGGTCGGTTCCAAAATGGCAACAGAGGGGGGGGCGCCGGGGGCGGCGGGGGGGGGCAGGAGCGGAGGGTTTGGCGGGGCGGGGGCCGGAGGCGCAGCGGGGGGACGCAGAGTAGAGCGCGGCGAGGGGGGGAAGGGGGTCGGAGGGGAAGGAAAGGAAGGCCGCCACCATGCTTTCGCAAGCAGAGGCGCGTGAAAACGCTTCGCGCTTCCATTTGGGATTATTTCCAACGTTCTCTAAGGCGTATGACGTACTTGCAGTTCGACAGGATATGCAATCGCACCCCGTTTGGCGCGCGCAATGCGTCTGGTTAGTGTCATCGAGGCCACGGCCGTGCATAAGTGACACAACAGCCGCCCCGTCTCAACAACCATCTGTTTGATCGTTTCAACCCCCGCGCGTTCCAATCCAATGTTGGCCCTACGCTGCCCGACAGGTTCCAAAGCGGGCCCCGAGACGGCCGCGCGTGGCCCCGAGGCGGCCCGCGAGGCGCCCGCGGCGGCGCAGGAAGACATCGCGACGGCCCCTTGGGGATCCCAGAAGGCGCGCCGCGACCAGCTAATCCTTTGATTCCGCACCGACAAGACCCACGAAGGACGCGCGAGGCGGCGCAAACGCGCGCAAGGATATCCGAGGGCCCCCACCACAGCACCGAAAGACAAATACTATTGATCTATCCTTGATTATATTCAAAATGTGGAGGTCCGCACCTTTCGGGCCCCCTGGCGCCCCAGGGCGGCCTTCGAGGTCCCCAAAGACCACTCCGAGACGGCCAACGACCCCTCAGAAGACCGCCCGATTGTCGGAGAGGGCCCCAAGACGGCCCATAAATCATCATAGATTATCATACGACGCCCACAGGCGGTCTCGAAAGGAGTCCGCGAACAGGAAAAGCACTCAACCCGCGGCCGCCCAGGCGGCCCAAGAGCTCCGCAAGGGCGGCCCCCGCGCTGGTCCACAGAAACCGACGCCATGCATGTTTCATCGTTTGTGTCCACGTTTGAAAAATATGTCGCGTTTGTTTTCCGCATTTTCGGATGGGCCGCGAGATTTCTCCGAGCGCCCAAAAAAACTTCCAACGAGGTCCTCAACGGGGCCCATATGACGGCCCCGAACGGCCTCAAAATGACGGAAAACGAACGCAGGGCCACGCGAGGACGCGCCACGATGCCCCCCTTATCAAGCACAAAACCTGGGACAATGCGGGGCCAGTGTGCAAATTAGCAGATGCACCAATGCACCCAATGACATTTTATCAAACCTCAACTGTCCGAAACCATGCGTCTACCACATGTCAGCAACAAAACAAACTGATGTGAAAGCGCAACTGACCAGAACGAGTTTCCTGGACAATTGAATCGCGGTTCTGATGTCTCGAATGTCATGCCGCAGGTTGCCTTCATCATCCGCCACAACACTGCGGAACCTCAACTGTTCCTAACAATTGTTTC